ACGATCGATTTTATTACTACCACGTGGCAATTTTAGCACCTAGTAGTTTGATCCAATTATTGGATTTTGGTATGAGAAAAAGTAATGGTTATGTAGACTTGTAGTGGTAGAAAATGCATAGTTGTCATCATGATTATTCACATGCCAAAAATTAGTCTTTTTAAGTCACGTCAAGTGGAATCAATAAATATTTGTTCGTTGAATTTCAACAATTTTTTTGTGACATTTTTTTAGAGTTGAAATTGTGGGAATCATGTTAAACACTGTTAAAATTGATCACCAAATTTAAATGTTGAATACTTTTAATTTACGAAACAATAATAATATCTATATATATTCTATCCTTCTTATATCTTATTTAGCAGACAGATAATTGGTCAGCAGCCAATTTGAATCAAAACTGCATATTCAACTAAATTGAGTATGTCATTCCACACGTCATTCTACAGTCATCAGAGTATTTACAAAAATAACAACTACATCATACTTAGAAAATTATTAGTCCCGACTTGTCCAATAATTGGACTTTTTTAAAAAAAAATAATAATAAATATAATGATAATTTTTTTCATTATAAAATAACGGATACTCTCTCAAATCCTATATAAATGATTTGTTAATGAGTGCCCCCGGGGGGATCGAATTTGTATTCAACTACTTTGAAAATCTAATATATTTTAGAAAAATCGTGCTCATTAATAAATCAGTAAATATAATGTGTAGTTTATTATAAACCTTTTGATATAATTGTACTTATTATGGGATAAATATTTTTATCGAAGTGACACTTGTTTAAGGGTGGATGGTTATTAATTTTTGTTTTAAATTTTAAAAGTAACACTTATTTAGAGATAAATTTTTTTTTTGTTGAAATGACACTTATTTTGGGATGAGAAAGTTATAGCAAATTTCATGTAAGATCTAGAGGAAGAACCATGTGAATATTTTAAATATCAACATCAAGTCCTTAATTAGATGGCTAAATCTGCCTAACGCCACGTGATCACCCAAGCAGTAATTGCCAATTATTTATTTGTGTCGAAATGAAAACGTTTTTGACAATTCTTTTTTTTTTTTTATCTAGTACTCCCCAGTATTTCCACTTAATTATCAACCAAGGTTTCATATGACTTAAAAAAAAAATAGTTATACTTAATATTTCTATAGCACATTATATTAATTTTTCATGATTAATGATAAGATTGAGATGATTAACTCTCTTCATCCCATTTTATGCGAAGTTTTCTTTAATAATTGTGAAAAACATTAAGACGATAATCATAATAGAACGAAGGAGTATGTTAATATAATTTTATTGTGTTGTAATAATGTACACGACACTGAATGAACACAGTAATCGCAGTGGCGGAGCTAGAAATTTCACAAAGAGTGTCCAGAAATAACACAATAAAAGTTCTTTTCAAAAAGTAGAACTCGTGAGATTCGAACAGACCAACACTTCCTCATTCCAAAGAGGTGAAATCATTGGGCTATAACAGTTTGTTAGGTTAAGAGTGTCCAAAATATATTATTTAATCATTTCGTGTATCATTTTACTTGTATATATGATATTTTTTTCCGACGAAGGGTGTCCAATTGGACATCCATGTGGCTACGTCACTGATTACACGCGCCACAAATTATCTGTTTCACTTTTAATCGTCATAGTTTTTTTTTTTAGAGTCAAACTATAAGAACTTTGACTGACATTTTATGATATAATTTTTCATCATATTCATATGAAAAAAATTGTAATTTATAATACTTTTCATATATTTTTTGAATATTTAATTTTTTTGTTAAAAATATTTAATTAATATGTAATTTAATTTACCTTTAAAAATAATCAAATTAACTTTCGAAAAACATAATATGACAAATAAAAGTGGACACAGGAAAGTATTATAGATTTAGGCGTGCATTAATTAGAATTAAGATAGAAAAAAAGTGCATACTGAACAATATTGTTTAATTTATTGGGTCCTATATATTAAAGTATAAACTTAATTTCAACCCCATCAAAGAAAAGGCTGAAATTTGTCGAGTTAGTTAGTTCGGACTTTAATTTGGAGGTAGATATGCTACTTAAATACTTATGTCCTCTTGATTTATTAACTTTCAATAATTGATGATGTTTCTTAAAGGTTCTTGTACATTCCATAATTAAATATTTTATAATTTTAAGTTAATTTCATAAAATAAAATGTAATCTCTTTATCAAATAAAACGCCAATTGACACAAAATCAAACATTTTTTTGCATTACTTTCGACTGAATACTTGATAAATTGTTTCTCATTTAATTTAACAAATCTCTATTGTTCTTATTCAATATATGGAATCTGAAGAGAGTATTGTTTACCGTCCTTAAATGTTAAAAGGGTATAGTGAAATTGTTTATAATCTTAATTATTACCTATAAGAATTAATATTAGTCTAAGTTTCTTTTTGATTCTCTATAAAGATTCTACTAAATTGGGGAATAATTAGTACAATAATTGTAATCTTCACAGCTAGGCCATGACCACACTTTCATTGAACTATAAGTACTTGTATTAGAAGGACAATTGAAGCAATTAGCTGGTGTAACACCACTAATTTAGAAAAAAGTTGAAAACTTTTCAATTAAGATTATTCTAATTTTGAAAAAAGAGTCGAAATCTAATTGGAATTTCTCTTCTTCCAAATAAAATCCAAAAATCTAAATAAATAAATAAACAAGTTGCAGCAGCCAGCAGACAGCCAATTTGGATTTACATTCAACAAAATTACATGTCATTTTAGAGTCAGCACCCATACAACAATACTATCTTACCTGACTCTTACATTAAAAATCTTTTCTTTTACTTATCCTTTTTATTAAACAAATTTAGAAAATTTTCTTTTTTATATTACCCCTAATATTAAATAAATATGTAAAGTAGTAATTGTCAAATTTAAAACTTCAAAATATCACTAACTTTAATAAAAATAAATCCTTCATAAAAAATTAAATCATTGTAATTATTTTTTTTCTTTGGTTTTCCCATAATTCCATTCGAGGAAAAGCGCTTTTACAATATGTCATTTATAAATATTTCCTCCTTTGGTGTACGTTGTCTTGTTGTTGGGGCGGTATCAACTCTTTTTTTTCTTTTCAAATTATGTACGTAGAGTTTGAGTCCAACACGGACCATATAATACATATATTTCAGTTGAAATAATTATTTATTATTAAATAATTGTAATAATAATAAAAATAACAATTAGTATATACTTACTAATGTGATTAGATATTAGTATTATTACAACAGATAATAACCAGCCACCACTCATATTATTTGGCTACTATATAAGAAAGTCCGATACAATTGGAATTTCTATTGCTTTCTTCTTCTTCTTCTTCTTCATTTTTCTTCCTATAATATTTAAACTTCAACTTCTTTATCGATTTATGTTAGAAGAAAAAACTCGGATTGAAAAAAATAATTCCAGGTTTGTTTTCTTATCTCTCTTGATAATTTTATTTTTCTTTTTAGTCTGTTTTTGGGATGATTTGGAATTTATTTTCGCGAGCAAAAATAAGATGCATGAATTAATATTCTTGTTGCGTTCATTAGAATTCTTTGTTTTCTTTTCTTATTATGAAAATGAAGATGGCTAGAATAATATTAAAGAATTTATATAAGCATGAGAACAATTTTTTAAAATTATTGTCTTATTCTAGGTCCTCCTATTGCAAGAACATCAGCTGAGTAATGTTGATTTTATTTATAGAGATGGGAATGTGTTGGTATTTTCAACTGTAATTTATTGTATTTATGAATATTTTATTTTGTAGTTTTGATATGAACAATGAAGATTTCTTGTAATCACAAACGTAGCATTTTCCTGACATTTAGCTTAACACAAATAATACTGTTTGGTGAAGTTTTTTTTTTTTTTTTGAAAATAGGTGTCTGGCTAAGCTTTTAGGAGAAAATATGAACTTTTGAGAAACAATAGAAGCTGATTCTCAAAAGCTAAAAAAACAATTTTTGTTAACATTTTTTTAAAAAACACTAAGAAAAATACACATAATCACTTTTAAAAAAATTTAATCAAACACTAATGATTATCTTGTCCAAGTACGCTATAAGCCTTTCTGAGATAAAGAAACATTTAAGCTTTAATTAAAGTTTAGTAAGCCGCAAATCCATTCATTAATTGATAAATATTTAGCCCGAAAACTCATAGTATTATTTTTTATATACGTAGTGAATCCTAATTTTCTCATGATTGGATGGGCGTAAAGTATTTTAGCAACGCCATTGCTGACGTAAAGTAACAGAATTGCTATTAATAGAAGTGTATCACATGCCCCTTTAGTCGTTTTCTGTCACGTTAGTACCACCCTTACTTACTATATATATATAGACGTGTTTCTATTGCTGACACATGTATTTGAACTTAACTTGACTAAAAATAACAGCAGAAAAATGTAACCTTAGAAGTGTTCAAATTTGTTTTTTCATCGAGGGGTGGATCGAAGCGATTGCAGTGAAGAATTGATCTGAAACGAAGTTTGGACGGTGATTATGTGAAAACATGAGTCCATGTCATGTCAAGGAACTGTTGTTTCCTTGGTCTTTCCTATGCTTACATAAACAAATGTCACGCCCATAGGCCCATGCAACAATAACGATAATGTACAGAGTACGACTGGTTAGGGGCATGGGTTTTGTATGATTGGATGAAGTCCATTCTTTCTTACTGGTCTTGATATTACACTATCGCGTTACTCATATCTCGAGAAGGTAGAAGTTGTTTCGAAACGAATGATGAAAAGGAGAAAGTATCATAAACAATGCACACATTAATTTGTCGCTTATTTATTTATTTATTGGTTCATGTATTCTTTTTGTTTGTTTATTGGGGTTTAACCATTCCACGAATTAACTTCTTTTTTTTTTGGTTTGGAGCTTGCAGGATATATAGACAGAGACAGAGTTTATTAAAAGAAAAAAAAGACATTTTTGAAACTCCATAGTTAGGCATTACAACTAGCAAATAATATATATACATTTTTTATCTACAAAATTTTGCAAAAAGAAAAAAGAAAAAATGGGTTTTATGACATTATTAGAAGTGGCATCAATGCCAATATTGCAAGTGCTAATAGTAAGTGGTTTAGGAGCTGTAATGGCCACTGATTATCTTAAGCTGCTTCCTGCTGATGCCCGCAAATACCTTAACAGAGTAAGTTATCTACCTAATTTAGCGATTTTTATTTGTCCGACTCTTAATATTTTAAGAGTTTAACTTTTATACGTTGACGTATCTCTGCAGATAGTGTTTGTGGTATTTACACCGGCCCTGATGTTTGCGAGTTTGGCAGAGTCCGTCACCTTTCAAGATATCATCACATGGTACATTCTTGGCTAATATAATAATCTTTTGGGTTATTAATCGCTCAATCAAACAATATTACATAAATTGAGACATAAAGAATATTTGATCACCACGAATTGTCAAAATCTAAGATGATGTGTCATTTTAGTGGCATTACGTACAGATGAACTAATCTTAATTAACTATTGTTTATACAGGTGGTTTATGCCAGTTAATGTTGGATTAACATTTCTATTTGGAGGGATTCTTGGATGGATAGCTATGAAAATATTGAAACCAAAGCCACATCTTGAGGGACTCATTATTGCTACATGCTCATCAGGTAACAATATCATCAAAAGTTGCCGGGGCGGAGCTAGAGTTTTTGTTACAGATTCAACAAAACACAATACTATTTAATACAGTAACTCAAAATTCTCAATCTGCCTCTGCTCTGAACGCCTCCACATTGTAAAAGTTGCTCTAACATAATTCTGACAAACAGGAAACTTGGGAAATCTTCTTTTGATTGTCATTCCTGCAATTTGCAAAGAAGATGGAAGTCCATTTGGTGATCATAAAACTTGTGCTTCTGTTGGCCTTTCCTATGCATCTTTCTCAATGGCAGTAAGTTTTAACTCATCACATTCTCCCCTGAAGTTATGTTCATAAAGTTCCAATTATCAACACAAAATTTTCTCGATTTGGTAGCTTGGAGGTTTCTACATTTGGACATTCACTTACCAGCTAATAAGAAGTTCATCCTTGAAATTTAAAGCTCTAAAAACAGCAGAGGAGAACGAAGCGATTAAGGGACCAAACAATGACTCGGAGACAAATGAAAAGTCTTACCTTCTTGACAACAATTCTCAAGATCAGCTTCCTATAAGTACCACAAAAACAACTGAAAATCAAACAGTAGAAGTATCATCATGGCGAAAAATAGTAGGTGTGGTACACACTTTCTTAGAAGAGCTAACAGCACCTCCTACTCTTGGAGCTGTAAGTACTACGAATTTCTGATTTCACTTGTGGTTTTTGAAGGAATGTAATTACATGTTGTTCTTAAGTAACTCTGTTTTTTTTTTTTCTATTTTTGAATGATATTTCAGATTGTAGGATTCCTATTTGGTTCAATTACATGGCTGAAAAATCTGGTGATTGGGGATGCTGCTCCCCTTAGAGTTATTCAAGACTCTGTCAAGTTACTTGGGTATGTACTACTAAATAAAACATTTACAATCGCGATCATGCTTAGGTTTACATGTTATTTTCTTACATATCAGGGATGGAACCATTCCGTGCATCACTCTTATACTTGGAGGCAACCTCACCCAAGGTAATGAAGTATATCATTAAAGGCAAATCTAAAACGATGTTTATATGTATACTCGTTCTGAACTCAGGCAACTTTGACAGGATTGAGGAAGGCACAAGTAAAACCATCAACTATAATAGCAGTAGTTTGCGTACGATTCATCTTCAGTCCATTGATAGGGATTGGAATTGTTAAAACAGCAGCGAACTTAGGGTTCCTTCCAGCAGATCCTCTGTACCATTTCGTGCTAATGCTTCAGTACACCGTCCCACCTGCTATGAATATCAGTAAGTTATAACAATTTCATATCAACTGAATGCTGATGTTTATGGTTTGCTTATTGAAGATGATGATGAAATGCAGGTACAATGACACAATTAGTTGATGTAGCACAAGAAGAGTGTTCTGTTCTAATCATGTGGACTTATTTGGTAGCAGCATTAGCACTCACCATTTGGTCCACTATATTTATGTGGCTCTTATCATCATAAATTACAAATCTTAGATACTGAAAGCAGTATTTTTTTTAGCCAAAATTCTTTTATGATTGTGCTTGTATACTGTTCTACATTTATTTATGAAAATATAGAATCATTATTTCTCATCTGGGGCGTATAAAGTCGAATCGAAAATCGAGTCAAAACCTAAAAAAATAAATATGACTAATAGTTTGGTTTGACTTGGTTTGGTATTGCAAAAAAAAAAAATTGGACTTAATTTGAGTTGGTTTGGTTTTAACTAAAAAAAGTCAAACTCGAGACCAAACCAACCTGACATTATATACATAAGTTTTAAAATTTATTTTATACATAAAAGTATTTGCATTGATATAATCTCTAAATATCTCTTAACTTTTTCATAATTTTTTAACTTTTAATATATTATTTCAAGTTTTTTTAGACTTAGAATTTTGAACAGCCCAATAAAGGTTATATTACATAGATATTATTAGTAACTCTTAAGTCTCTACTAAAGCTCAATTCAAAATCAAATCACTAACAAAAAAAAATTAATTCAACACCAAAAATGACAATAATGTTGAATATTTGTTCTTTAGTTTTATATTGATTTAGACATTAAAAATACATAACCTAATTTTAATATGTAATAATACGCATTAAGCTTATTTTAATCCTTTTAAAATATGATCATTTTCACTACGACCTATTAATTTACAATATTTATTTTATGCAATTGTAGTTATTATTTTTTCTTGAATATTCTAATCTCATCACTCATTCCATATTTGTGTTATTTTCTTAAAGAACACTTACATAATTCTATTTTGATAGGACTAAAGAAATATTTGAATCAAAAAACAAGTTAATTAAATGTCTGTATAAATACTTTACCAACAATCCAAAAAAACCTAGTTGAAAAACCCAAGTTTTATTAGTTTAGTTTGATTCGTAATTCTAAAAATCCGATATAAATAATTTGATTTGATATTTAAAAAATCCAAACCAACTCGATCATATACAACCCTACTAAAACGTTTATCTAATTTTACCCTTAATATGATAATTTGACCGCAAGTTTCAATAGACTCTTTATTTCTAAGTTTCTGTTCACAGTAAAGTAGTATCACATAAATTGAAACGAAAATAGGATATGTTACTACCACACCCCTATGCAATTTAGATAATGTTCCAATATCTCAGTCTATGGTAACCAGCTAAAATACACTTTAGAACATTTATGTAACATATAATAGTGGCAGAAAGTAATAAAAGAATAATCATCAATTTTTTGAACATTTAAAGGAGCTGCATCGATATATGATACACAAATGTCCGTAGAAAAATAATTCAACTATCACACTGGAATAACAACTACTTGCTATCGACCTCGACTTTCTTGGTAAAGTTATCGGTCTCATACAAGGGTTAGTTGTAGTTTAGGCCGATTAGGCTGAGGCTCAACGACTTCCATGTGAATTCTCACTGTTCCAAGTACACCATACGAAACACTTCCATCAAGCTTTCTAATTTTCTGTTGTTTCTCATCGACTACCCATTCCCCTCCATTGTCACCTTTAGATGTCAAGTATACAGGCCCTTCAATACCGTACCTGGAAAGGTATACAATAATCAATGAGCTAAATAGGAAATCCATTAACTTGTTTTGCTCTCTAAATGAAGAAACAACACATACTTGGGCACAAAGACAATGAAGCCATTGGATCTTATTTTCACTATTCTCGCCTCAGTATCTGTTGGTCTGTGCACAAGAATGGAAAAGTAAAAATGAGAGAGTATGGAGGACATAAAGGGATATAACCAAGAAGATGTTCTTCATACCGCTTCCTGAAGAAAATGAGAGTATGGAGCTCTACTGATGCTCTGCTGGCCATCTGAGCATTCCTATGCCGATAATTTAGATCTGTTTTGGAACACAAATGAGCAAACACAACCACATAAAATTTGAAACTAGACCATGATTTCTACTATTTTCCTATGAGAAAAGACTTCTACTTTTCTTCTTTTTCTTTTTTCCTTTTCACGTGTCATTCATAAAGAAAACTCACACTGCCATAAAAAGTAAATGTTGATGAGTGAAAACTAGGTCTGAACAGAAGTTCATTATAAGTTTTAACCCTTTAATGTCCAAAGTTCAGCAATACATAAATACTAGAAAGCTAACACTGCACAAATAATTATTTACTTTGAACAGATGGGCTATAACAGAAGTACTCAAGTTCTTTTGATAACTGAGAAATCCTCCTTCTCAAATTAAAACTCGATGGGATAATGGGACGCCCTCTACCCTTCTCAAATTAAATACCACGTTTTTGTCTGCAGCAAGTTCGAATCCGTGGCATATGTCTAACCCACGCATTACACAGTTGTGCTCTTACCACTAGACCGAAGCCCTAGGAGCCAAAAATACTCAAATTATTGCTAAGTAAAACCTCAAGACTAACAGACACATTCAATCCCAAGTCCCCACTATTCACTCAGTGGAGGAAAAAAGCGTAAAAGCATTAATACAAACTTCTTCTGATACCTCTGGACAGATGACAACCAAAAACATAAAAGCATTAATCAAGAACAAGCATAACTATAAAGGCAAGCTCATATACTCCCCATCCACAAGAAGTCTAATGCATTTAAAACGTAATGCCAAGCATAATGAAAAGCAACACTTACTGTCAGAAATACTAGTTAGCTTGGGTCTATCTTGGAAAACACCGGGAAGCTGATAAATTCCCAAAGAAGCAGCAAGCAATCGATGGACGATGACATCTACAAGACAAGACAGAAAAAGAGGCTCACAATTGGTCGCATCCATTGCACTTTGTCATTATAAATGGACGGTAACTTTTACTAACCAGCATATCTTCTAATGGGCGAGGTGAAATGAGTATAAAGAGGAGAGGCAAGACCATAATGAAGATATTCTGGAGGACTAAGGTCTCCACTACAAAAGTAAACCGCCTGAAAATGCATACCAAAAGCAATGCCAACTCAGAAATTACATGATATTTCAGAAGTAGGGGATTTGGTCAAACCAACGAAGAAGGAACACCTGTGTCATGCATCTGGTTGCCAGAATCCGGATCAGCTTGTTGAAGTATGGATCGTCACCCTAGGGAGAAGATAGAAAGTTAGCATATGAATGCACAACAGCAACCAATGGAACTAGATGTCCCTTAGCTACTTTGAGGAGTGCAATATCATCACTCTATGCAGTGTTTTCTTGGCTATTAAGTCCCCGATTGGTAATTCTTCCACAAAAGTAGTCCTTCAGTCAATTTTGAGCCAAATTAACTTATGTAAATGTATGCAATAGAATTACGGGTATTTTAGTGAAGGACCAATGCAATCTTTCAATAAATAACAGAGCAGCCGAAAAAAGAATCAGAGAAGGCATTCATCGATTGTCTTGTTATTTTCCTTTTATTTTGAAGAGAAAACAACAGTTTTTTTAGCCAAATTACCTTCATTTGTGAGCTAAACACATTATTAAGTACATTATGTTTGGCCGAAAAGTATAGCCAATAGTGAGCACCTTGTGTTATAAAAGAACTGATGCGAAATTCTTAACAGTAAAAGTTAGTCTAGCCTCCATTTAAGGCTAGGATTGAAATAGTTTGAGCCTAAAATTCCATGACTCCAGCTCAGCTTAATTGGAGAATTCGAAGGGGCTTGATATTAAGCTGCAAAAAGCTTGAACATATAGAGTTGATCTGCCACAAGCCCTATGTTCCAATTAAAGAAAGCCAAATTTGAAATAAAAATCCTAATAATTTATGAACTGACATATCACTTAAATCAGCAAACCAACTTTATTCCTCTAAGCCAAAAACAAACATGACTTGCAAATATCAAGTATCCTAATAATAACTTAATACAAGTGAATGTTACGAAAAAGACAATTGCAAAATTAGTTGTTCATTCCATTTCAATCAATTGAATAGAGAAGAGATTAGTAAATCATTCCTATGAATGGTTTTAATACAACAAAAAGCCCAGTGCAGAAAGCATCCTGCTTTAGCAGTGTCTTGTAAAAACAACATGAGAGGGAATGAGAAGAAAGCAGAGTCACACAGCCACCTTTTTATACATTGTCCAGCGGCAGCAGACTTATGGAGTATGTTTATCACACTTTTTGGACTCAATTGGGTCATGCCACAGAATAACAGGGATGGTTTTGAGAGTTGGAGTTGTGGGAAAGTTCTTAACACCATCAAGAGAATTTAGAAGATGATACCTGCTGCTGTTTTTTGAAGTATCTGGAATGAAATAAATAGGAGATGCTTTGATGGAATATCAACTACCTACCAATCTCTAAAATCTCATTGTCTTATGCTGTTGTATAGTTGGGTTATATGTCCCCAATAAATTCCCCTGTTACCTTCTTGAATTTTACCAGCTCACTAGCTCTCAACTAGATATGCAATGGAGGTGATAAGTTCTTTCTGCTATTCTACTTTTCTAACTATTATGCATTCACTTGATGCCAGGCTGCCAGCAATGAAATTATTTACTTCATCAAAAAAACGAGAGAATGAATGAGAAACTGATAAAGAAAGAGGTTGTGTGGCTGCAAAATGAGAGAATGAATGAGAAACTTATAAAGAAAGAGGTTCTGTGGCTGCACATTAGAAGTAACCGGAAATATCAGGTAGCGTTGTATGAAGCTTTGTCTGCTAGGGTTCTATGTAGCTTGTATGGAGAGATGAAATTCGTTTCTCATCTAGGTCAGCGAACCCATACCCAAGCTTATTCTGGAATTAGGTCGATGCTTGTTCAGGTCAGCTCAGCTCAACTCAATAATAGCCAGGCAAGGTTAAGCAAAAAATGAGTCGACACATGCAGCTTGTGAACTCATCTATAATATACGACTTGATTTATAGCTAAAACCCCTTCAGAAATATAGTGGAAGGAAGAAAATTCATTCTTTCATTCTTAAGTTTCACTATGCACATCACGTTCAATAAGCCACAACTCACCTTGGCAAGATCTAGAGAGTCAGCCAATGCTTTGGATGATGTCACATCCAAACTAAGACCAACTGCTTCAGCTGTGCGGAGAAGAGGCTCAAGCATTTCTTTGGTTGGGCTTGGATGGCGTCTGCAAATAAAAATGCATCATGTAAACTTAGAGAATTATCAAATTTAATTGAAGTACCAAACGTAATCTTTAATAGCCATTTCATAGTGTCACAACTCTCTGGCATAACATGTAATTCGAGTTTTTGCGGAACACTTGGTATTAGACTAGAGCCACCATATCTGTCTCTAGTGCTCCATCTTAGACAACTGTGAATAGCTATCTGATGTATGAAAATTGTACAGAAAGAACAGGTTGGTGAAGGAGGGGAGAAGATGAAGCAGAGTTGCATGTAAACGTGGATTGAGTATGTTGAGCCTGTTACTACTAGACAAGCATCACCCCTACAAGGAACTGAAGCCCTTTAAAAAATATGTCATCATCCCTTTAAAGAATTGAAGCCCTTAAAGAAATGTAGCCTCACATGTGTGTTTCTTTAATTGTTATCCTTATTTACAACTTTGTAACTCAATAAACATATGCCTGTGAGCAAGGAATCACTCTAAATAACTGCCTATAAGCATTCATCAAACTGCTAGATCTCCAAAAAAACTTCTCATTATTACCTGCAATCACATATTATACCATCTTAGGAAAGTTAATTCTTTCAAAATGACAGGATCAGATTACATTCATTTTTTAGCACATGAAGGATACGGAAAGAGACCTATACAGCATAGCAGGATATAGATATGAGACCAGAAAGTTTAGACACCAGTTAAGGAAGATATTCTAGGTAAAAGAAGCAAACTATACAGACGGATTTGTTTCTAAGTAACAATAGCAACAAACCTTAATAGTGAGCAGACAGGAAAATGCTTAAGGATTTTTTCAGCAACTGCAACATTAGCAGCAAGCATAAACTCCTCAACCATTTGGTTTGCTTCACGAATCTGATACATTCCTATACATACATCATAAAATTAACTTCACACGACTACTCAAACAATCTAACAAAGGATGATGTCATTGTGCAGTCCCACAAAAATAGCAGAATTCTTCAGTGAAACAGTGGGTGTAAAAATTGGCAAGGGATATGTTATAAGAGCTCAAAGCTAAGAAATTTTAATGTCACAATACTGCACCAGTTTGAAACAAATGATCCTTAAACTGAATCTTAAGCACTGTAAATATATAATTTAAAGGAGATCTGTAAGAAAAATTCTTGGCTTTCCAAAAAGCAGGTAATTGGGCTCCTTTATCTAAATTACAATAAGCTACCAAAAGAAACTAGAGAGAGAGAGAGAGAAAGAAAAGAGTTGGATTATACCGATATCAAGAGGGTCATGAGTTTCAGTATCAATCTGAAATTTGACTTCAGCAGAAGCAAGTGTCAGTGCACCCCTATCAATGCGTCTTTGCCTCATTATCTGCAAAAGTTGGTCTCATTAGAATGCTTTTAATATATTGATACTAGAGCTGAAAGTCCAAAGCTAAGATATAGTAATTAAAGGAGAATAAGGATTACAAGATCAAAACCTTGGCTAACCCATTCAAATTTCGTAAATCTGAAGTTATTGGATCCACCAAGCGACTGGAATAACAAACATAACTTGTTAGGTATGGGAACTAGGAATTACAAAATGGCAGATACAAGTACTTTCGAAGTTCAAGAAGACGGGCATGCAAGTACTGACTAGTTTATAGTTGAACAGGAAACAAACTCATAAGTTCAAAAAATTTCAGGTTGAGCGGTTCACCCTGTCAGACCATACAAAAATCCACTTCCACAATCATCAGTAGTGGATTTTACTTCTAACCATCTATGGCCCCTTTAGTTGAAATAAGTTATACTTCGGAATTATTTTTTGCGACTACATCAAAAGTAAGATGCTTTGAAACAAACAAATTTTTAGTTCTTTTTTTAAAAAAAAAAAACAGTTTTAGGCCTGTGGGTACTGTAGAATTTCAATTTCTACTACATGTACAAACACACATCTAATCTGGCTGCTATTTACTTGATCACAAGCCCAAACAGAAACTTAACCCCCAGCACGAACTACAAGCAGGACAAGATACACATGCTAACCAACCTCAAAATTGGGCAAGACAAAGCAACTTCACATTTTGATATGGAAGTTCCACCGACAGATTTTGTACTTTGTGTAATCTTAACATATATATTTTTTTGAATCAGGTAACATTTTTGTGTAATCTTAACATCTTTCTAAAGGAAAGGAGTCCTGTCATATGCCTCTCCGTTTAGCATGAAAGCGGGAGGGAGGGGGTCTGCTCAATCAAGTCCCCTCATAGGATATTTTAAACTGTAAAAGCACATCATGACCTGACATCATTCATACAAACCATATTTTTTGTAAGGAAATGGAAATGTTCATTGCCTATATAAGCATTACGAAGGAACTTATCATATCCCCACAATCCTTCATGTATTTCACTTTTGTTACTAAGATACATAAAGGATACAAAGCATAACACGCCAAAACTACAAGCCAGGTCAGGAAAAGAAAGAAGAAGGGAAGAGACTATTGCGAATCTCATCATTCAATACTATATCGTCTGCAAATAACATATACCATGGCACCTCACCTTGGATATGCCACATCAGTTCATCCATCACCAAGGCAAAAATGAACAGACTTAAGGGTCAATCCCTGGTGCAGTCCCATCATAACTGGGAAGTGGTCCAAGTCCCCTCCCACTGACCTTACCCGATTCTTAGCTCCATTGTACAGGTCCTTAATCGCCTTAGTGTAAGCCACATGCACACCTCTAGCCTCCAACATCACCATAGGACCTCCCTAGCCACTTTGTCATATGCCTTTTCTAATCTAGGTCAATACTCAATAAACACACCATGCATACGTTTCTCTTCCTCTCTCGATACTGCTTTACCAGTGTTCTCACAAGATGAATGGTTTTTGTCTTCAACGCGGTCTTTCAAGGAAGAAGAGGTGTCAACTTAAATCCTAATACAAAACGGTTTCTCAGTGGCGAACATCCTAATCTATCACGGAATTTGTTATGGAAGTCTATGGCTCCAAATAAGTAACATTTTTCACTTAGTATGCAATCTAGAACGCACAACACTTCTATTACAGAACAAAATTACTGGATTTTGAAGAAGCAGCCAGTCGAAGAAGCCTAGTCCAAGAGAGAGAAGAGGAACTGTATTGTAGCCTTTTATTTTTGGTGTAAAGAGAAAGGTTTAGAGGAAACAGAACAGATTGTAGAATTATTAGGATCCATGTAAATATCTTTTTTTCTCTTCTTTTGTTCCCCTTTGCTTGCTGAAGGTCACCAGCATATCCTTAATGCTGAAGAATACAACATGACCATTTTCAAAAAAACAAAAAAAACGAGAGAGAAGAGGAAACTCCTTGAACTTTTTTTACAAAACAGGTTCCCACCTCTCCTTTTTCTTCTAAAAGTTGCTTTGGGAAAAAAAACAGAAGAAGAAGCACCGCAGAGAAGATGCAATGAAACAAAGGAAAGAAGAAGTAGAAGAAAATTACTGGATTTTGGAGAAGAAGAAGAAGCAGCAGTCAGTCAAAGAACCGTAGTCCCAGAGAGAAAGAGGAAGCTCTTTGAATTTTTTTTTCTAAAACAGGTTCCCTCACCTCTCCATTTTCTTCAAAAAGTTGCTTTTTAAAAATATATAAAAAAAAAGAAGCAACCAATTTGTCGCTACCTCATTTCACGCTTCGCAAACAAAAGTGACCGCTTTATTCACTTCACATCACCTCACCCCCCACCCCAAGTAGCTCTGAACCCTCGCCTTGCTTCACCTAAAGCAATGAAACGAGCACTTTTCACAACACTAGTCTATAGTCAAGCACTTTTCAGTGCAAAGTACACCATGTGTAGAGATGGTTGGATACTGGTAGGCTTTAAAGTGCTTCAAAGTACATACTACAACACTTCTTTAAGGATAACACCACTTAGTTTGACATCAATGAGATCTTTCAGTTTATCAATAAATGATCAACAAATAAAGATAAATCTACCTTCCAAATGATTTACATTGGGAAGATGAAAAATCATGAGAAATATTGACCACAAGACAGATTAAAGGGAAGACAGAAGAAGACTGAGCAACGAAACGAATTTGTCAGACATCTGAAAACTTTTTTAATAACAGTTGAAGTTTCCATACTCTCAGTGCCAAAAAACTGGGTCCCAATTTGATCTTGTTGAAGGCCTCATTATACCTTGAAGGATTAGGTTTCGCTATTTCTGAGGGCAAAAAACAACAACATAGACTGGAAAAGGCAACACCAATTGCCTAGCTAAATCACAGTGCTAGGATACAGTGGTTAATGAGGGGCCATCTGCATACCTAATACTGATGAGAATGAGTTTGGTTCAAGATGTTTGAGAGGAGATAACGCTTTAGAATCTGATATGACCAGAAAAGAACCAAGAAGACAAAATGTAAACAGAAACATCAAATGGGAGCACCTATCATCCATTCTTGCTTGCGCCTCGACATAGGATAATGCTGCACATGATTTAATCACGCTTTTAGTGTATCTTGTAGAAATAATCTCGGCATCAGGTGTCATTTCCTGAAAGACAAATAAATGCACATTGGGTGAAAATACAGATATAGAACTTATGTCGGGGGGTTGGGGTGGGGGGTGGACACAAGCACAAACCAAGCAGACAGGGCCTAATGAAGGTTGTTATAGTATGCCAGTATAATTGAGCCATACAATCCAGAATGCTACAAATGTATTTCATCAACAACCTGCAACAATTAAGTTTCTATCTCCTTATATGTAGCTATCAGCCTCATGGAAGGATTAGTCATGCGACATAGCAGCACAAAATGACTGACAATTAATGCAGTTAGATAATTGACCATTAACTAGGTTTGTATAAGCTGCCTGTTAGTAAAAGACAAAAACTATACTGACTTCAGACTGGGGGAACATTGTACGAAGCTCTAGGCAGATAGATATGCAGCAAGAAAGAAAAATAACAAAGATAACTGGCAGATATTTGAGAGAGAAGAAGCCTGTCAGAAATAGAAGATCAGCTATTACTTCTAGAAATATCATAAAAATAAATTACATACCCAGATAACTGAGAAAGCTAGTCTTTCAACATCAGAACGAAGTGAACAAATATCTGCCAAGTAAAGAAAAAAGACAAGATTAATTGAAGACAATAAAACAATTGATCCAAATCCATCTCCAAGCCATCTGACAAGCAAAAACTAGTCCAGGCTAGTTCCTGAAAAGTAAATTTTACCTTCCGTAAGAGGTTTTGGAAGCATGTCGATTCTACGCTCTACAAGATATACAGAAGTACCCCTTTGTGAAGCCTCATCATCGAGTGGAGTTCCAGGATGAACAAAATTAGTAACATCGGCAATATCTGGTATGTATTAAAGACTCACACCTAGACTTTCCCATGATGTAGACGTTATATTTATTTATAAATATAAATAAATAACAAAAAAGTCCTGGAATACAAAAGGTTGTTTTGTAGGCGAACTAACTAAGTTGTTGGAGGCGAGCGGAGTGAGGCAATGAAATTGTTTAGTCGAAAGAAAAGTGAGAACTAGTGGATTTTGAGAATGAGAATCATCTATAGTCTCATTTCTTTTTCGTAGTAAGAAGACACTAAGACGCACCCACTACACACCACACACTCAGGCGTCTAGCAGGGTCCTTCCCCATGTGAAGGGGGTGCAGCTATTGTAGCTAAGGCCAACAAAATTTGGGAAGTCAAAAGATATTTAGGTACAAAATCATGAGGATAGGAAGCATCAAAGGAAATAAGAGATGGTATCACAAATGAATACCCATCATTACACTGGTTGTACACAGAAATAAGCCAAAGATGATACGAACAGCATCATGTGCCCAAAACCCTCATCACACCCATCTTCAAGGAGATCACTGTCTCTTGAAGAAGGAAATTAGCAAAAGAGATCAGTGTTAAGTTTTGTAAAGAGGATCATCCCATCATGTATTTGGTGGACTATTTGGAAGGAAAGAAATGATAGATGTGTTGAGGATAGGAGGAGTTTAGTACAGGATATTAAGCTAAAATGCATTTTGCTTTTCTGTTTTTGGTGCACTAAACTGTATTCTAGTGACACTGAATCAATCCTAGATGTCCTAGGCACCATTAAGGATTGGTTTCACATCTGGTATATTATGTATCTATCCATTTGAAAATTGGTTTTTTCAGTACTACCTAAGTGCTGGTTTTAATACGAAGTTACTTTACTCAAAAAAAAGTTTTGTAAATTCTAGCCAAAAGATTTCAAAATTAAACATGGATACGAACTCCCACTTCAAAATTTCCATTTGAAAGAGCCATACAATGCAATGCATCATCAATATCTCTGCATCCTGCATCACAGAAAAAGCAGAATTCTGTCTCAGATTGACATCACATGTAAAAAGTATCTCATCTATGCTGACACAAACTAAATGTGGGCACTGCAGTTAAATGGAAGACGAAAAGCACTATAAATTTGGACAACATACCAGGAGGGTCCACACTACATACACGCAGGTGACGCAAATCCTGTCTAATAGGATTTGTCAAATCTTGAGAAGACACAGACCAAGGTAATGGTGGCAAGCACGCCAACACTTGGGCAGAAAATGGCCTGGCATCTATATCATTCTCTATTAGTACCACCTGAAGTTATTACAGAACAAATATAGTCAGGACTGTTATCCATCAGCATCAAGAAATAAATCGAATCCTAATTATTTAAGCATGTAAGATAATATATAGGTACCTACAAGCAAAGGACACCAACGCCCTGAGCACTTATTAGAAGGTATTCAACAATAAGCCACAACAGAAAAACTACAAACAATCTCAAAAGTACATTACAGAAAGAGTAGAGAAGGATAATTTGTTCAAATTTTAAAGAGCAATGAATGACATTTCATCACATACCTCTGTTTCGGTGTCCCTATCACCTATTTCACCAATTGTCCTCACATAGTGACCGGTTGGATATCGAGACAAACGATCCCATGAATCAACCGCAACGATAATCCGTTTATCCAGCAAATTTCCCAATTGACGAGTTTGTATCCGTATCTTCGGAATCCTGCGGTCTTTGGATACGAATAAGGCATGGGCACGACCACCATCACCAGCTGGCATAGGCATTGGCTCCAAGGATCCACAGTAACTGCAATGATGAAACATACAATATTATATACCAGATAAATGAAGACTTTGTTGGTGGAAATAGATACAGGCATACAGCAATTTAAAGTATGAGAGTTCAGTGACAGTGCAGAGAGTCCAGCGACCATATAATTTTTGCAGGATTTTCACATATTGAAGAGGCAGAACTCTCTAATCCCCATGTCACTTTGCAAATGATTACGGAAATTGAACTCGGCCCGACTTAATCGTAAAGCTATCACAAGAGGTAAGAAACAGTCTTGAGAGGACTGACCAACACCTGAAAAGGTGCCATATACAGAAGCAGTGTCTGAACTGTCCCGATAGAGGAGCAATACCTAGAACGGTCGTCAGGAAGAAGAGTAGTGGCACCAGAGGGTGTAAGCCGCCCACCAATAGCATAAGCTATGTCAAAATCGAAGAGGGTCGAATACCATGTTACGGAAATGGACGTTGGATCTAACCCAACCTCAAAGGCTAGCACATGAGACAAATCCAAGACCATAGAAGGAGACAATCTCACACATTCTTTTTGATGAAACAGTGTTATAAATCGCATCAAGAAGATGCATGATAGCAAAATAGGTACAAAATCTCACACATTTGAAATGCCAAGGGCTGAACATTTGGAGCGTGGGTTTATGATGATCCAAATTTACTATACCTCTTAGCTTAAGATTTAGGTGAGATGTGAATGCTTTAACATGGAATCACAGCAAGCAAAGTACGACTCTCTCTATATAATTTTTTTTTACATGTTTTAGGGGGAAATGGCCAACACATGATGGGGCATGGTAAAGACAATCAAATAATTTTTTCTAACAGTTTGAGGGAAAAAGCCCTAGCCCCTATACATGCATTAAGCGACGACGGCACAAACGAAGCAAAAGTATAAAAATGTAGTTCAAATGTGTAAAAGAAGGGGTCCCATTAGTTTTTAGTTCTGAGTGTCCCGTCAGTATGAAAAAGTATTTGACTGGACAGAAATGGTCATTGTGCGAATCCCAAATGCAAACCACAAACACTCAAACGTGAGGAAGAATTTAAAAACTAAATGTAATTGGTGCATTTAACTCTGTCAATAATATTAGGCAAAGACATTTTTTACAAATATCTATCATGTCAGAAAAAGAAAGAGCAGGCTTTTCAACCTGATTAAAGTCAAAAAATTTCACACATTTTATCCATTTCAAGGAAAGAAAAGAATTCAAAAGACTAAACGATTTGAAAAATGAAGAATAAACCATCAAACAATATGCCATGGACAAATCAAGTTTGACCCAAAACATGGTAGCTGAAAGGTTCCTAAAGTTAAATGACCACAACTGTGTTGCTAGGTGGTGACCTATTTGGACGGACCAAGGTGATGTCCTTTTTCTAATTACCAAAATGAAAAATAAAAGGATACAATCTTTTTAAAGAGAGAAAACATATTGTACTCTAAAGGTGATAGGATAAGTCACCTTAAAATTTTTGCTAACTCATTTGTTTATTCAGGCAAGAACCAGCAAAGGAAAATTATTTTGAAGGTATCTTCAGAAATAGACTTGAAATGTCTATTTGAATTTTCTGAAAACATGATTTTGTAATGCATGCACATTTAAAAATATCCTTTGAGATGCTTTTTCAAAAAAAAAAAAAGGGGGAGAGGATAAGAAAAACTTTAAAATCACGCTAAAACGAACTGAATGACAAGAACAACAACACATCTAAAGCCAGCAGATAATAAACAATAACTTACGAGTGCCAGTTCCGCTTTATGATACCAACAACACATCCAGTTGGACGAGAAGGTTTCATTTCCTCAGGTGCAGTTTGCCCTTGATTCAGGACTCTAGGAGCATCATCAGCAGTGTTTGGAGCTAAATGAACATCTTCTTCTTCATCGTCTTCAGGATACCGAAATAGTTATGAGATTTACATGCATAAAAAAAAATCCTCCATAATGAGAGCAAGTGAGGACAATTGCGATGGACAGACATGCAGGAGCAGAAGGACAAGTTCACAATCATTCATTTTGATTTGCATGAAAGTTACAAAACATATATTAATAATTGAATAACTTATCACACTAGAGAAATATTAAAGCAGTTCCAGAAGAGTAAGTTTGAAGATATACTATTACAGTTAAAATATAATATGGAATGAATTAAGTTTTTGAAATTTGTAAAATTTGTACAAGTAATGGTGTAATAATAATTAGAAATGGGTCAAACGTACTGAAACGGAAATGACTACTCTTTTTAGCTGGGTTAATCTCACCCCTGTATATAACCCAGATTCTTTTTTCGAATTTATTAGCTCTTTAGTCTTGTGCTAGACCTTTGGATTTGTCAGCTCTATAGACTTATGTTAGGTTTTTGTTATCTTTTTATGAGCTGCTATAATCTCCCCCTCTTTTGTAATTATGCATCTCCTTGAGGCCTTTGTGATTTATTATTCACTTGCTTCATCAAAAAAAAAATTATGGATAGCCACAGCAGGTTTGATTTTTGTGATATAATAATAGAGTTGTTACCTTTAAAAATAGGATTCCTTAATATCATAGAAAGTGAACCACTTATGACTTTTTTCAGGAGAGAAATGTAGAGATCTCCTTCTTAATTGAGATAGTCGAGTTGCAATATAATAGAGAAACACGTTATATTTACAACTAAACTATGTGAAATGGTCTAGATATGACCTCTGTTAATAGTTTGGGACAATCATGTCCCTGCAATAACAAAAGTAGGTTATGTTTTCCCTTATTTTCAAATAAACTACCCTTATATTTGTCGCTATTTTCACTTCCTCCACTATCTTTATCACCCTCACAATCTCAATGCCAGTAATTAACTTCAGGAATGAAGGCAGATAAGGGGACGAATCCAAATTTGAGGATGAATAAATAATACTTCTTAGGAATTGAGATTATCAGATTTATGAAAAAAGGGATAATGACAATGTTAGAGAATTCCTGACATTAAAGAACATGTGAAAAGCAGATAAATTATAGAAAGAATTTCAAGTTCAAAAGAAACGAGGCTCAGATTGTCAAAAAACTATCAGAAAAATGCGCTAGTTCACGATTGCTGCAAAAAGCAGATGGAATATTGTGAGAGAAATAAACCAGCTCACAGATTCGACTGATCTTTGCCAAGCCAAACCATAAATCATCTCAAAAGCCTCATTCTTTTAACTAAATCAGGCATCAAAAGGGTATCCCCAGATTTGCCCTTTTCTCAGACATAAATGAAAAGATCTTTGAATCCAGCCATGGCTGCAAGCATCAGCTAGCCTTAGAAGACAGAAGAAACACCAAGAAATGGATTTTTTCCCCAAAATATCATAAACCCGCCTGAACTACCATGTCGAGCTACAGTTTTTCAGCTCAAGAGAAGACATGTTTGATTCAACACCCACAGAAAACAAAATCTTCACAGCCCCCTTTATGTATAAAATGGACCAGAATAATGAGTACAGAAAAGAGGGAGGATATGTATAATTTCACTAAAAGGATGGTTTGGTGAGGGGAAAAAAAGAAACTGAACTTTGTCAAGCCAAAACATGAATCAGCTCAAAAGCTTTGAAATTCGCCGTAAAGAAGCACAACCAAAAATTATTTTTTTATTTCCCAAAATATAAAAGATCCACCTGAGGTACCAATCATATATATATATATAAAAGAGAACCATAAGCCCACCTACGTGGCGCCACCACAAACTAGGATTCCCTTTTAATTTATTTTATTTCCAAAAATAGCCTTCACCTTTCGTGAAAAGTTATGAAACATTGTGACTTTTATGAATAGTTGTCACTTTTATAAAAAATTGTGTTTTTTATGAAAGGTTGTAACCTTTCTGAAGGGTTGTAACTTTTCCAAAGAGTTGTATCATTTCTGAAAAGTTGTGTCTTTTATTAATAGTTGTGACTTTTATGAAGAGTTGCCACTTTTATGAAAGGTTGTGACTTGTGACCTATCCGAAGGGTTGTAACTTTTCCAAAGAGTTGTAACATTTCCAATAAGACACAATAATCAATTGTTCACACTACCCTTTGTTGTCTATAATTAGAGGATTTTCCTCTCATTTTAAAACAACGAAAATTTTGAACTTCTTCTTCTTCTTCTTCTTCACAATTAAATTTGTGTACTTTGCTCCTGTTGAATGGCTCACTGACACCATTATTTTTGTATCAATACACTGGTGAATAGAATCGTTATATCTTGAGAGGATCTATTCCTTTAAACATCGCGTATTAGATGGAAATAATTTTCTTAAGGACACACTGTGCATTCAATGGACTCGATTTTTTCCATTTTGTTTCATTCTATTTTTGAAGATCCTGGTATGTTTTTTACAGTCATTAATTTATGCTTATATTATTAATTGTTGTTTTTGAGTACATGCTTTAAACTTTGTTGTTTATGTTTATGCAAAGTTATTGTTATAAGTATTTGTTAGTACATATTAAATAACAAACGTTAATTGGGTATTCAAGCAAGTTTTATCTACTGAAATTGTTGAAGGTACAATAAAAAAGCCCTTACAAATCTATTTTCATACAAGGATGCGATTTTGTTTTCTTTAAAAAATACTTTGAGAGTTAATAACTTTGCATGCCCATATTTTTTGGTTTTTATGTTGTTGTTATCTATTTTTACTAAATTTTATCAGTGGATATTATGGGTACTTTAAGGATTGAAAGTTGATTGAAGTGTTAGTCAATTTTTTGTGGTATGTTATTCTAAAACATAGGAACTTTTCTGGTTAGAATGATTCATTATCATCATTGGATATCTCATAGTTTAGTCCTTTTAATGATATTTTTTCTCGTTGTTTTGTTGGTTCCTTAAAATTGTATTGATTATTTTTCGTTTGGTATGTATATTATCTCACTTGGACAAAACTTTTCGTCCTTTTAATGCTTTTCTTTTTTTTCCTTCTCATTCGGCTCTTCTAAATATTTTTCGTGTGAGTTATGACTATTTTCGGCAAACTTAATTTGAAGAATATGAAACGAAACCTACTCTAAATAAAAGTAATATCCTAAACTACAAAAGATATGTCTATTAACATAGATTTGTTGTCCTTCATGTTCCAAGTCATTGCAAAGCGTTTGAGTTATCTAAGTTAGACTCATTTTAATTTTTTAATGTTCAAGAATATTTCTTTAACATGAGCCTAGAATCCAACATTTTTATCTACTTGTACTTTCATAATGCAACAATTATACATACATATTTCTGAACAAGTCGTAAAGTTGCATTGATGAAGCATCTAGAAGGGCCTTCAGACCAGCAGTTTATTGAAGATTAAATTTCTAAAAGGGTCAACAATATTATTTTGTTTTTGTTTCAAATTTATTTTTCTCCTTCTATAAATTTTGTTAGAGTAACAATAACGAAAAGTGGTGAACGTTTGACCTCAGACAAGTAGATTATTGAAAAGGTTGTTCAAAAGCTTAGAAAGATTATTTATACCCGCGCGAAGCACAGGTAAATTACCTAGTTACCATGTAAAGCAACAGATTTCAGCACAAGAGAAAACATATTGATTAACTTCCACAGAAGACAAAGTTTGAACAACCTCATTGTGTATAAAACGGAGCAGAGAGAGTAATAAGAATAAGAAAAGAGGGAGGTTTTGTGTAGTTTCACCAAAAGGATGGTTTGGTTGGGGGGGAGGACCTTATGAAACAGAAGAAACACGAAGAAAGGAAACTTCTTTCAAAATCTCATAAGCCCACCTAAGGTGCCATGCCAAGCAACAATTTTTCACTCAAGAGAAAACATGTTTGAATGTGTATAAAATGGGCCAGAGAGAGTTATACCACAGAAGGTAATAAGAAAAGAGTAAGGTCGTGTATAATTTTAGCAAAGAGGTGGTTTGTTGTGTTTGTGGTGGGCAGTGGGGGAGAAGGGACAGACGTTTGCCAAGCCAAAACACGAATCAGCTCAAAAGCTTTGGAAACTGCCATGGCTGAAAGAATCAGTTAGCTTTAGGAGACAGAAGAAACACCAAGAAATGGAACTTCTCCAAAATCTCTGTGAGAAATATAGGAAAAGAATATTATTGAATTGTTGTTATTTACATTATTACATTGAGACCCTATTTATAGACCCTAGAATACAATCCAGTAGGATACTATTTAGTATTCCTATTTCTATTTCTATTACTATTCCTATTCTAATAGGATTGTATAAACCTATTCCTATTCTAATAGGATTGCATAAACATATTCCTATTCTAACACTCCCCCTCAAGCTAGTGTATACAATTCATGTACCTAGCTTGTTACAAATGTAATTAACACGAGGACTGATGAGGGGCTTGGTGAGATATCTGCAAGTTGATCACTCGACTTCACAAAATTGACAATCATCTCAATGTGCTTGGTCTTCTCATGAAATACTGAATTTGATGCAGAATGCCGATAAAACACAGAGTGATAAAATTACAGTGTTGGAACTTCCCAAACCAATGCCGATAAAACACAGAGTGATAAAATTACAGTGTTGGAACTTCCCAAACCAAGCTTGCAAAGACTGTTTCAGACCATAGAGTGACTTACGTAATCAACATACAAGGCTACTAAACTCCCCCTGAGCAACAAAATTAGGTGGTTGCTCCATATAGACTTCTTCACAATGCAGCGGTCGTTGTAAGTGCTCAAAATCTAGTATAAAGTATATGGATCATGTTGAAATCAATAGACGAGTCGATATCAAACAAGTCACCGAAAAACTGGCCAGAACATGCTCATATGTCGGAGTACTAGATTTGATGGCTAAAAGTGGTCACAATCTAAGAAATAAAATTATATGGATAGGGTCAGAATGATGTCACAACCCAACTAGAAAATAGAAAAAATATAGGATAGTTCGAATTGATGGAACAACCCTATTGAA